CACCCCAAGGAACACGCTGTGAAGCCAGGATGTGGAGAGATAAGCAAATTTATCCCTCACAAATGCATTCCCCAAAGGATTTCCCAGCAAAAGTCCTCAAAGATTCTTGGAAGGTAAAAACCAGGGGCCTTCCAGCAAAGGAGACAATTTGAAGTTCTGAGTATATCCCACGAAGTCAGACATATACCTGCAATCTTCGAGTGTGTGTGTGTGTGTGTGTGTGTGTGTGTGTGTGTGTGTGTTTTGTTTTTTTTTTTTTTTTTTTGAGACGGAGTTTCGCTCTTGTTACCCAGGCTGGAGTGCAATGGCGCGATCTCGGCTCACCGCAACCTCCGCCTCCTGGGTTCAGGCAATTCTCCTGCCTCAGCCTCCGATGTAGCTGGGATTACAGGCACGCGCCACCATGCCCAGCTAATTTTTTGCACCTTTTAGTAGAGACGGGGTTTCACCATGTTGACCAGGATGGTCTCGATTTCTTGACCTCGTGATCCACTCGCCTCAGCCTCCCAAAGTGCTGGGATTACAGGCTTGAGCCACCGCGCCCGGCTGAGTGTGTTTTATCAAAGCGGTGCTTCAGCGTTTGCTGAGACTGAGAGGAGCAGAGTTGCTCTGCTCACCCATGCTCACCCCATGGGTCTCGTGGACACCCACTTCTCCGATTGTCTACCTGGCCCTTTTCTAATAGTGCCTCCTGACTGCACTTTGCAGAACCAGCCTTCTACCCTCAGTCCATTGTTTGCAATGTGGCTGATCCCATTCATTGGCTCCAGAGCTGAGCATGTGACTCAGGAGACCAGTGTATTTTTGCCTTCTAATATTTATTTATTTATTTGCTTATTTGTTTGTTTACATGTTTATTTATGTTTTGGTGGCAAGGTCTCGTTCTGTCACTCAGGCTGGAGTGCAGTGGCACAATCTCGGCTCACTGTAACCTCTGCCTCCCCGGTTCAAGTGATTTTCCTGCCTCAGCCTCCCTGTAGCTGGGATTACATGTGCACGCCACCATGCCCAGCTAATTTTTGTATTTTTGGTAGAGACAGAGTTTCACCATGTTGGCCAGGCTGGTCTTGAACTCCTGAGCTTGAGAGCTGCCTGTCTTGGCCTCCCAAAGTTCTGGGATTACAGGCCTGAGCCACTGCACCCATCATAATTATTTATTTATTAGAGATGGACCCTTGTTCTGTCATCTGGGCTGGAGTGCAGTAATACAATCATAGCTCACCACAACCTTGAATGATCAGATTCAAGTGATCCTTCCACCTCAGCCTCCCAAGTAGCTGGGACTATAGGTGCTTGTCATCATATCCAAACAATTTATTCTGTTTGTAGAGATTAGGTCTCACAATGTTGGCCAGGCTGGTATTAAACTCCTGGTTTCCCACAATCCTCCTACCTTGGCCTTCCAAAGGGTGGGTATTACAGGTATGAGACACCACATCCAGCAGCCTAGTACTATTTAAAGAGACTTTTTTTTTTCTTTTCTTGAGAGGTTGCTCAGCTGATAGAAAGTAAACCTGGATCTACTGCTGACCATCTTGTCCCCAGAAGGAGTGATCTTGTCTGGGAATAAAGCCCACAAATGAGAAAGAAAAACTGAAAAACGGAGAGACATTTCTGACAACCTCTTTTTGAGTAGCAGGATCAAGCCATGCCTGAAATCCTTCCTTAATTTTTCAAATAAGTAAGCAGATTTTTTTTTTTTTCTCAAGTCAGTCTTAATTGGATTTCTATAGCCAGCAGTTAAAAGAGTTTGAGTACACTGACATTTGGTAAACTATGTTTTTTCATTCATTCAATGAAATGTGCTGAGTCCTTGCTACATGCTAGGCACTGTGCAGGAAATTGAGACTATGTAGCAAAGAAACTGCTCTCTCAAGGTGTTTACCCCAGTGAACGAAAACCTTGAACTAATCATCACAGTACAGCTGGCTGTGGCGGCTCACGCCTGTAATCCCAGTACTTTGGGAGGCTGAGATGGGTGGATCACCCTGAGGTCAGGAGTTCGAGACCAGTCTGGCTAACATGGTAAAACCCCATTTTTACTAAAAACACAAAAATTAGCCAGGCGTGGTGGTACGTGCCAATAATCTCAGCTACTTGGGAGGCTGAGACGAGAGAATTGCTTGAATCTGGGAGGCAGAGCTTGCAGTGAGTTGAGATCGCGCCACTGCACTCCAGACTGGGCAACAGATCAAGGCTCCAACTAAAAAAAAAAAAAAAAAAAAAATTCATGGTAGAACTGAAGGAGGAAAATGTCCAACTGGACATGGGCTCTGCGGCAGCCCCTATAAACAGATTGCCAGGGGTATTTGCCCCACTCTCTGCCCTCTTAGTGAGCCTTCCCACACTGGGCACGTGTCCTTGTTCTGGCCTTTGAGCTTCCTGATGTCCAGGAGCCAGGGACCATCCTGAGGTCCAGCCAGGGCCTTGACTGTTGGAAAGTTGCTCACGAATCCTTTTGGGAAATTCTCGTCCCACACATTCCAGAAAACCAATATCCTTTTCTCTTCTGATCTCTTTTCCTCTTCCAGGGCTGCCTCTGAACAGCATCAGCACCTGAAAGAGGGAGGCAGACACTTTTCTCACCAGGTTGTGGGCTGATGGATAGACCTCTCCCTTTCCTTTTAAGGCTGGGGTCAGAGTGGGCTAATGGTGTTGATGGTATTCCTAGTTCTGGGATGACAAGGTTACTGGGACATGAAGTCCCAGAGGCCTCCAGCGGAATCTGGGACAGCTGATTGTCTAAAATTATCTTGTAATTAACAAATTATTCACTGTTCCTCACTAAGGGGGGTAGACACGCCCACGTTCTAACACCGCTCAAGACTGTTAAGCCGCTTGTTCAGAGAGAACTCTTGTTCTCCATGTTTCTCAAAGCTCTTTCTTCCATGACAAAATGTACCTATTAATAAAGCCTTTTAAGAAAATCCTGTGCCAACTTTTAGACACAAAGCACTATAAACCGCCTTATCCAGTCCCCTATGTGGGATCAAATCACTTTCTCTGCTGTGTTCTCATAACTGTCTCTATGTTCAGCAGAGCTCTTCTCAGTTTAGCCTTATTTGTCTTTTTCCTTTGAGGATAAATCCTGGAGGATAGAGCTCCAGGTCTTTTGTATCTTTGTTTCTTCTGCTTGGCCTCAGCCAGGGCCTGGCACGTGGCCCAGGCTGGGCCCTGCCCAATGCCTGCGTTTGCCCCTCCTCCTGCCTCCTCCCCACTGCTGCAGCCTCTCTGCCCTCACATGCAGGACTGGCCCGGCACTGGGCTCTGATGCCCCAGCCCATTGGAAGCAGAATCAATTTCATTAGGACATAAGTTCTATGAGGGGTGGGCCCTGGGTTGTCTTGTTCTGAGTTGTACCCCCACGGCTAGCAGAAGGCCTGCCACTTTTCAATAAGCATTAGTTGAAGGAAGGAAGGAGGGAAGGAGGGAAGGAAGGAAGGAGAAAAGGAAGGGAGGAGGAAAAGAAGGAAGGGAGGGAGGGAGGGAAAGAAGGAAGGAGGGAGAGAGGGGAGGGATGAAGGGATGAATGCATGAATATAGTCACAATTGCTGTGAATCAGTGTCTCAACCTCTTCAAGTTTACGTGGCAGAGCTGACTTCTGTCCTCCTGGCACTTCAGCCATGGGGTTGTGGCTTGTGCCTCCTGCCTGAGTACCTGATCCCTGGCATTGCCAACTTTGGTTCCTTTGGATTTCTAATCATCTTGTGACCTCGTCTTACACCCTAATTGCTGCTTGTCTGCCTAGCCTCTTTCCTGCTGTCGCCATACTCTTTGGACACGGCGAGATCCTTAGAATGACCTTCCCTCTGTTGCTCCCTGGCCCTTACTGTAGTGGCCCTGCCAGAAGCTCTGGGCCCTCCCACTCAGAGGTCTCATGCCAAGTGTCCCACCACACCCACGGAGCTCAGTAGATGGAGATGGACTGAATCGTACTGTTTGGTTTCTCTCTTCAGTCACTGGGGGAACATGATTACTTTTGCCAAACTGAAATGTGGTACGCTCTGCCCTACCGTTCAACTCACCTCATTCCAGTCGCACCGCAAAGGAGGACCCTGCACCTATCATATGCCAGACACCGTAGGGCATTTCCCCGCAAACTGGACATTGTTGCTCTTGAAATTACACACGCATCCCTACCTTATTTAGATTTTTTAGAAGTTCTTATAAAGAACTTCTAAAAAATGGTTTTGTTTTGGAGCCCTGCAATAATGGTGTGATCGGAATGAGATGAGATGAGCAGTATGGCAGAGCGTGCCACATTTCAGCCACGTATTCATACATTTCTTCTGGCAGAGTGGCGAAATCAAAATAACTGTGATTAAATGGTGGTTGATTAGTATTTGTGTTGTCTATTATCACAGTTACCTAGGTACATCTGTAGGAGGGGCTGAAAAGGATGAATGGACCCATAAACATTAATGTGGTGGGGACGGGAGGCATGTTTATCTATTTAGAAATGAGAGTTTACCATTAACTAACTGCTTCATTGGTATTCATGCTATGCTGTGTAATAGGTAGCACTCGGATAGCTGAATCCAACAAAGAAGTGTTTGTCTCCTGCATTCCAGGAAGTCAGATATTGAGGGGGAGGAGAGCATGGGTACGTTTAGGGGTTTTCGGGTGCTGGATACTGGTAATTGGATGTTTGGAGAATGTGCTCTCTCCACTCCAAATCTCTGCCTGTTGATAGAATGTGGTAGGTCTCCCGTCTGGCAATTGCTTTGGCATCGCTCTAGCTGCGTTGTTGGCAGGTTGGTCTCACTGTCAGCCGACATCACGGGGAGTTTTGCATCTCGGATGAGCAGAGCTCACAGGTTTGGCTGCTGTCTCTGGATGAGGTGCGGAGAAAAGAGCTTTCCCAGTGCTGGAGCTGCAATCAACAGTTACTAGAACTGTGAGAAAGAAATGTTTACCGCTTGTTTCTTCTGGGGTTCCTTTTCCATAAGCCGTGTATTTCAAATGAAAGGTTGTAATAAAGCTGCCTGTTTTCTTTCAGGTAAATTCCACAAATTGGCTCACAAAGGTGGGGTACGAACACGCTGGCCCACATTGGGCAAGAATGGCACCACCTCCCAGGCACTGTCTCCTTCTGATCAGCGCTCTGGGCGTCTTTGCACTAAACCTCGTCACCAAAGGTCAGAAGAACAGCACGCTCATCTTCACAAAGGAAAACACCATTCGGAACTGCAGCTGCTCTGCAGACATCCGGGATTGTGACTACAGTTTGGCCAACCTGATGTGCAGCTGTAAAACCGTCCTGCCCCTCACCGTGGAGCGAACCAGCTACAATGGCCATCTGACCATCTGGTTCACAGACACATCTGCGCTGGGCCGCCTGCTGAATTTCACTCTGGTCCAAGACCTGAAGCTTTCCTTGTGCAGTACCAACACTCTCCCCACTGAGTACCTGGCTATTTGTGGTCTGAAGAGGCTGCGCATCAACATGGAGGCCAAGCATCCCTTCCCAGAGCAGAGCTTATTCATCCACAGCAGCGGGGACGGTGACTCCACAGAGAAGCCCATGTGGTTACACAAAGGCTGGCAGCCATGTATGTACATTTCATTCTTAGATATGGCTCTTTTCAACAGGGACTCGTCCCTAAAATCATATAGTATTGAAAATGTTACCAGCATTGCCAACAACTTTCCTGATTTTTCTTACTTTAATACGTTCCCAATGCCAAGCAACAAAAGCTATGTTGTCACGTTTATTTACTAACATAGTAACTGTCCAGCCACCTCTAACTTTGGCAAACAATGGATAATCTGCAGAAGGAATCTGGAAATAAGGCCATGAGATAGGTATGGCTAGCCACAGCTGCGCCTCTCTCCGCTGGCTCCATGCAAAACAAAAGAAAAAGAAACCAAAACACCAACGTGATTCTGTCCAGGGACAGGTCTTGAGAGCCAGCTAGGCTACATCTCCACAACTAGGAGCCTGCAGGAAAATGTCCCATCAGAAATGGAGAAAGCAATACACCCTAGAGACTGCTGAGCGGAGCTCCACCTGGGAGGGGACCACCAAGAAACATATATTCTTTCAAAATACTGCCTTAAATGTTTTTCTGTTTCATTTCGTGACATTGCTTGGCATTACCCTAAGTAGAAAATAATCAGTTTCAGAGGTTTGGGGACTATGAGTTTCATAAAACGATTAGGTTCTCTGAAACTGATCTTTTCTGAATAACTTGCTAAGAACAGATGCATTGGAAAATCGGAGTTTGGAGACTGCATTTGCTGGGGTGGAGGTAACACAGGCATGGATAGGGTGGGACCTGAGGACCCAGTGAGGGGACCAGGGTTCCAGCAAGAGGGATGCAGAAGTGAAAACTGGAGGACACAAAACGTATTTGCATCTATCTCAAAATTTTGCTTAGAGCATGGCCTAACCGAGAGGAAAGTTCTTCACTTCCAGCCTTTCACACTCCTTTCCTTATCTTTCTCTGCGTCATCTGTCTTTGCCCCTGCTATACCACTTCCCCTATTTCTTTTCTCATTTTCACCTTCTTTCTCCTTCTCCTTCTCCTTTTCCTCTTGCTCCAAAAATCGGAACTTAGATGAATACCGTTAACCACATTAGGGGCTAGCCTGGGAATCTACTGACCACTTACAACATTATTTCTACTGATAACAGTGCTCAAATTATTAACAGATAATTAAAAAAACTTTTAAGTATCAGTTCATTTGTTTAAGATCGCAAAGTGAAGACATTTTATATGACATGGTTAACACAAAATGTTTTTATGTGTGCTGATAAAAGGAACCAAAGCAACATACTGTTTAAAAAATTAAATGGAATCATTATTGTACCAAGAAAATTTTCACTCATAGAGACCCAACTTGACATTAAAGTGGACTATAAAGAATCCATGGCAGGCTGGGCGCAGTGGCTCACGTCTGTAATCCCAGCACTTTGGGAGGCTGAGATGGGTGGATCACCTGAGGTTGGGAGTTTGAGACCAGCCTGATGAACATGGAGAAACCTAATCCCTACTAAAAATACAAAATTAACCCGGCATGGTGACACATTCCTGTAATCCCAGCTACTCGAGAGGCTGAGGCAGGAAAATCTCCTGAACTCAGGAGGTGGAGGTTGCAGTGAGCAGAGATCGTGCCATTGCTCTCTCCAGCCTGGGCAATGAGAGTGAAACTCTGTCTTTAAAAAAAAAAAAAAAAAAAAAAGAATCCATGGCAATTGTGATACAAATGTCTAAACCTGTAGTGCGATGAAGTTGAAACATGATTGCATTCATCATACCACAATGATAAGAAATAGTCCATATCTTAACAGGATGTCCTGAGGTTGATGACTTTAGATCACATACATCACATTTTTTTTCTCTTAACCTTAACATAGAGTAACTGAAATAACCTGCAATTTCTACATTTGCTTAATTGGTGGGGGATTTAGTCATTCAGGCTAATTAGCATGAGTTCATGTCAGTGTTGAAATTAGGCCAAAACAAAGATCAAAGTATGAATTTTAATAGAAAAGTGCAGCCTCATTACTGACATTGTTCTTCAGAGATAATGTTAAAGTGATAGAAAAGGATAAGGAAAGGGAGAAAAAGGAGGAGAAAGAAAAGCAAGAAATGACAAGTGAGAAGATTAGTAATATATTCACTGTCATTAGTTACTGAAAATATAACAAATTGAATTTTAGTGAATTTTTATTAATAAAGCATAAAATTAAATGATGTTAGAATGTATATGTATCCTATAAATATCTTCCATTTGATAGCTTTGAATAGTTTCAAATCCTTTTCACATATGTTTTAAGCGAGCCTTTTGAGAAATAACTGAATTAATGGGACTTAAACCAATAGAAAAGGAAAGCTAATTTAGTTATAAATCAAGCCTGAGGTTTCAGATTTCTGGACTAAAAATACGGTTCTGTTTGTGCTGCTATGGGATAAAGAATGGGCAGAGAAAATGCACAGCACAGGCATGGGCATCAGTGGCATTGGGCACTTAGCTGCAGGGTTTGGGGGACAAGAGGGAGTGGTGGGATGCGGGTAGGTAAGGGTGCACTCCCACCTGAAGCTCTACAGTGGCTCAGCTCCAACTGAGTGTTGCCGTGGGAAAATTTGATGGGGCCAGATCTCCTCCTTCAAGAGAATGAGGAATTCCAGGTTGTTGTGTGAATTCTCACAATTTGTAAATGTTGGCATGCCATTCAGCATTTTTGTTTGTTTTAAATAATTTAATGTGGGTTGAACAAACTATGTCAATGGTACCCATCTGGCCTGGGGCTAGTAGCTTGTTGCCTCTGGCCAGTGGTGTGCTGATAAAAGTTTAATCACCAGCTCTCCAAAACTAAGCAGGGTGGGCTGGGCTGCGCTGCCTGTAGAGCAGCCATCTTTTATTCCTTTACTTTCTTAATAAACTTGTTTTCTCTTTATTCTATGGACTCACCTTGAATTCTTTCTTATGTGAGATCCAAGAACCCTCTTTTGGGGTCTGGATTAGGACCTCTTTCTGGTAACATCTTTGTGGCAACCACGAAGAGATGATACTGAGGAGACCCCGACCCAAAGGAAATAGAACAACACTGACTGGCTGACTTTGGAGTCAAACTTTTCTTTTGAGCTATTGACAGCTTTCAACAATTGAGTAAATTATGCTCCTATGAACAAAATTTGAAGCATGTTTGTTTCCCTCTACCTAATTTCTCCAAAACTTGGAAACTAGTTACATCACCTTTAGTCAGAGCTAGGAATGGCCCTCTCCATACTGACACCTTCTCCAACTGAACTCCTCTCTATTCTGGATATGAGACTCTAATAGTTCGGCAGGAATATCATTGCCCTTTCAGCCTGCAGAAGCTATAAAGATGGACCTTCATCTCTCTACAGACCTTAGGATTAAGGGTTCTCTTATAAAAAGGAGAGAGGAAATGTCACAGCTTTTAAACCGGAGCGACTCCATCTTGTATAGAGGCTGGGTAAACTAAGGCTAAGACCTACCGGGCTGCATTCCCAGCAGGTCAGGCGTTCTTAGTTATAGGATAACAGGAGGCCATCACAAAATGCAGGTCATAAAGACCTTGCTGATAAAATAGGTTGCAGTAAAGAAGCCAACCAAAACCAAGATGGAGATGAGAGTGACCTCTGGTTGTCCTCACCGCTATACTCCAACCAGCACCATGATAGTTGACAAATGCCATGGCAACATCAGGAATTTACATTATATGGTCTAAAAGGGGAAGGAACCCCCAGCGTGGGAATTGCCCACCCCCATCCCTTTCTTGGAAAATTCATGAATAACCCATCCCTTGTTTAGCATATAACCAAGAAATAACTGGAAAAATAAGCAACCAGCAGCCCTCAGAGCTGCCCTGCCTATGGAGTAGCCATTCTTTTATTCCTTTACTTTCTTAATCAAGTTGCTTTCACTTCACTCTTTAAAAAAGTATGTAGATATGTATGTACACAGTTTATCTCAATTTTACTGATGTAAAGGATGTGTAGTACACAATTTACAAATGACAATAAATGATTACAAATGGTAATAAACTATATTCTTTACTCTTTGTACATCATTAGTTCTCAATGAATGCTTTAATTGATTTTTGCCAAACTCTTATATACAAAGCCAACCCAGGGTTGCAACTGATGAGCATGTAGTTTTGGTATAAATATTGGTTGATATTTTCATTTATGTTAGGAGTAACAGGAAAGTTGAATAACAAAGATAGATGTGAAAATGTCACTTGTTAATCAATGATGAAAGCAACTTCTTTGCTGAATCAAATAACAGTTTTCAAATACTGGAGGAATATTTTCTCAAGAGTGGGGACTATGTAAGGGCTATGGACATGACACACAATCAGCTTTGATGAGCCAGTACAAATCTATGCAATACCCCACTGACTGGAAGGAAAAACGCTGGAGGAACTGAGTAAAGACAATGAGTTTAGGGTGTGGAGGATGGCTTGCAGTATTGAAATGCCCAATTTCCCACTTTCCAGAACCAGAGGTGGAAATGTTAAGGATTTGCACCCACCTTCCATGCAGTAGCCCACTCTTCAACATTGAGAGTTGTGATTCTGAAAGCCCCAAAGGTGGTAGATGGTAAGGTTGTGGAATTTAAGGCCTTATGAGAAAAATAAGTTAGGGGTTAAAACTCTTGAATGAACCTATGAAAATCCCCCAAAAGGAAGGCAGAAACAAAGGAACGAAGAAAATATACGGATAACACCTTATACACATTAAATTAGTAAAAATAGGAATTGGAACATCCATTTCCATTTCCCAGACTTGCTCACCAGTCACTTTAAGACATCTGTTTCTCTAGAATTTACAGAACACTTGATGGATGAGATTTGTTACAGGAAAAATGATATGCAGAGGCCTTTTTTAATGCATTTTAAATTTAACAGTCTGATATGGTTTGGCTATGTCCCCACCCAAATCTTATCTTGAATTGTAGCTCCCATAATTAATTCCCACTTCTTGTGGGAGGAACTCGGTGGAAGGTAATTGTTGTCAGGCATTCCTCACTCCCACCAGGCAGAAGATGAATAAAAATGGAGGCGAGCTCTTCTGGAATCACTAATGGAAAAACCAAAGTCTTCCACCCAGGTGATGCATGGGGAAGTTCAACAGGGAGGGGGGGGGGAGGAGGAGGAGGAGGAGGAGGAGGAGGAGAGGAAGAGGAGGAGAAAGAGGAAGAGGAAGAGGAAGAGGAAGAATCTACTTCAGTAATTTAGAATACATTGAGATCATGCTTTAGAAATAAAGTGTTATCTGTAGAAAATGTCCATTTATATCAACATAAGGTAAAACATTTATCACTAATTAAACAGATAATGTCCAATACCATTCAGTCAACAAATATTGTCTATTGTGTGCCAAGAGCTATTCAAGGTACTGTGAAAACAGCTCTGAACAAAACATAAAAATCTCTTCCACTATTGTGTTAGTACCTTTTGGGTTGCTGTAACAGAATACCATAGCTTAAGTAACTTATAAATAACAGAAATTTATTTATTGTTTTGGAGGCTGGAAATTTCAAGGTTAAGGGGCCACATCTGGTGAAGTCCTTGCTGCACCACATACCATGGCAGTTTGTGACAGGGGAAGAGAGTGCAAGAGAGCGAGAAAGGGGGCTGGACTCATGCCTTTTATGAGGAAGTCAATCCCAAGATAACTAACCCACTAATCCAGTGACACCAGGAATCCATTCACAAGGACAGAGCTCTCATGACCTAACACCTCCTAAATGTCTCACCTCTCAATATTGGTGCATTGGGAATTAAGTTTCTAATACATGAGCTTTGGGGGATACATTCAAACCATGGCACCCATGAGTTGACATCCAACTTTAAGTTACTGAAGAGCTGCTTTCATCAAAATAAGGTCTAAATCAATCTAATAAATAATTAAATTATTTCTTCAGCCATTTTTCAGAATAAAATTATTGAGATGTCCAGAGTTACAGATTTTTTAAAAAGGAAAATCCTGGATCAGGAATTCCTAGGCTATTATATTTCACCTGCCAAATAAAATTTTTAGAGATAAAGAACTGAGGAGGGCTTAGAGCTTTTAATACTCTTTAGTTTGCCAAATAAGAGCATGAAGACAAACTCAGAGATTACCATATATTATCATCATTATTTATAGAAATAAAGGCATTTTCTCATCTTAACATGAAAGAGAGACAAAAAGGCACATAATCTCAAAATAAAGGACTATTTCTTCCCAGAGAGGACATCTGGCTACTCTATACACACAGGCTATCCTTCTTATTTTCTTTTGGCAGCTGAATAGCGAAAACTTTTCACAAGTTCACAGACCTGAATTTGGTAGTCATTGTTCTAGACGACATAGTTTAAGACTGAGTTGGCAAACGAAACTGGTTATTGCCTATTTTATCTGAATCTATGGGTCAATTAAT